ATTTTCACTAATAATCAATTCACAAATAGAGAGTAGAATAAAAGCTGTATACGTTATGAACGTAACATTTTGAATGAAGTTTTGTAAATGTTTTTAGTTTAAATGTATGAACATTAGATTATACCTAATGTAACACTTGAAAATCAGAATTAATGAACTTTATTTGTTATTTTGTTGCCATAGTAAAACGTTTTTCTTTTCTTTTTCATTACAACAATAATATTGATATTATTAGAAGGGGTTTTTGTGGATATTATAGTAATTTCAATAGTTGAGATCATGAGTCAATTGAAGTTAGATCACTATGGAACACCTGGAAGCATTGGATGGTATTGAGCGACATATCCACCATTATCTTCAGTGATTTGTTATCTCATAACAGATCTGGTTGAACTCCATGAGTCACAGCTTCTCGTTAGAACTTCAGGAAATAACTCTTGAAGCCAGCCACTAGTGAACATACATTGATTATTATCAGAAGGGATATTTTAGGATATTATAGCAATTCCCATAGTTGGGATCATGAGTTAATTGAAAATAATATTGGTGTTTATCTACAGTTGTTTGATCACCGAGTAGTCAAAAATTTCATGTTTGTCTAGTCGTTCTTAGTACTGATCGAATTTGATGGATCAAGTTACAATGTAAGGACTGTTCTAAGTGATTCAACATTATATGGATTATACTGAGTTGTTAGATGGATGGGATTATTTGATAGAAAATCCTACTTTATCTATATTTCATATTAGTCGGCAGTCATTATTAAGACACATCTACAATTTTGAGTCAGCTGATACTCTCTGCGAGATTTGAACCCGTATCATTCAACTTATTGATGTTCGCTTAGTTTATAATAGTAGCAGACTCTTCCTCCAACATAAATAACATCGAAAGACAATCTTATCACGGTAGTCTACACACGGTACAGCAGTCATTTGATTATCGCAGTCAGAAACAAATGAGCTTCGCTAAAATCCGCTGTCAACCGATCGTACATTGAGCATCAGGTGATGAAATTGGCGCTGTGACCTTGAAATCCCTCAACGCTTTTGATTGGCTCATCCATAAATTATAGTCTCACCCAAATATTCACTGTACAATTTTCTACAATAACATTTTCAATTTTAATTACATAATCTCCATTCCAATAGTTGAAAACATGAGTCAATTGAAGCTAGACCACCACGAAAGCACAAGGCGGCCGTTTCGCCCTAGTACAGGACTCCACGACCCCCCCGCGAGATTCGAACCCGGAACCTACCAGTGTCGCGCGCGAGCACCCAACCACTAGACCACTGAGCCGGCATCCAACGCTGTTAATGCCGTGACCAGTGAAGTTCAACCAGGTTTGTTGTGAGATTTTAGTTCACTAAAGACAATGGTGACAGTGGCGCGATTTTGTGGACTGGTTGAAGTTACCGATTAACATTGTTGGACGCCGGCCGGCTCAATGGCCTAGTGGTTAGGCGCTCGCGTGCGAGACTGATAGGTTCTGTGTTTGAGTTTCGCATCGGGGCGGGGTCGCGGTTGCGCACTGCTGAGGGGTCCTATACTAGGGCGAGATGGCCGTCCAGTGTTTCCATGTTTTCCATGGTTATCTAGCTTCAAATGACTCATGATTTCAACTACTGAAATTTCTAAAATCTCCATAAAACCCCTTCTGCTAATAATCTTTATTTATCTTAATTAATTTTGATTTTGACAGTAAGCGCATAGAACAGTTACTCATATCGATATAATCAGGGTTAATTTAGCTTTTCATTTGACTTCATAATATATAAACTATTACCAACAAGTTATCAAAAGAATGGGGTGTATTAGATATACCGTGATTTACTTTTTCTAAGGAAAAAAGAGACAGTTCATTACAACATAAATGTAGACGGATGGATTAGAGGGGGTTTAGGAATTAGACAATGAACAATATTCAATACACAACTTTAGTTAAGACAAAATAATAAACAACACATTTCATATATTGTGAAACGGACACCCAATACAATGAAATAACATTTTCTTATCAATGAAGTTTCTTTCTTTTATAATCTTTATATCTAGATACTCATGAGTAATATAGATTATCTTATACAAAAAACAACCAAACAGGAATTCAGTTTCCGGATTAACATTTATATAGGATATTAGTTAATAACTTTTATTTCTCATTTTATGATAGCCATCACTATGGTTGTATAAATGTAATCTGATAAATTACTATGTATATTTATCAATGTTACGATAAGAAATTGTGTTGATTATCAGTATAGAAACATCTTTGTTGGTAATTAGTTAGTAACTATATAGAAATTTAACACTAATCCACAAAATTTTCCCTATGTGGTTTTATGAGCTATATATACATAAAAATCCAACGAGCTAAGGGCTAATTAATCAACTATCATTGATTAGTAACCAATATTTTGTTTGGTTAGTCTAGCTTTTTTATTATTGATTGAATCCTATCGATCGAATTGTAATATGGTCACCAGTCTAAGTGACTTGATATCTCTCGTGGTTGGAGGTAGTCAACAAAAAACACTATTTGATCTAGGTTTCATGTTACTTAACACACGATAGCAAGGTGTTCCCTAGTTGATTTGTTCATGTGTCATCGACCACTGAGCTGTTCGATCTGTGACTGACCTCTAATCAGAGTTGAGATGTATTTACAACTGATCGATCACTGAGAAGTGATTGGTATCATGTATGCTAAGTTTATTATTAGTGTAGATCAAGTTTTATAAATCACGTTGAATTTTGGCCACTTGTTTAAGTAACTTTACATCGTGCACAGTATGTTTGGATATATTTTGATAGAAAATTTTTCATAAGTTTCGTATTTTCAACTGAATATTGTATCTTTCTTAGCTGTGTAAGGTTGTGTACGAAATTATATTTGTGTTCTATGTGTTGTTTATATGTACCACTTGTACGTAATACATTGCATGACACAATAATATATATACTTTGGCCTATCCCTAACCATGTGCTTAAATATACCGCTGTTAACTCATTCTCTTAATTCTACTCTGTTGATTGCGGTATCTGACGAAACATTATGATAACTTTGTAGATATTTCAGGGCGCTCTGCACTCTAAAGAACTATTGGCTCTTTTAATGTCAAAACATTTGGGTTATATAAAGAAACGAAGCGAAACGAAACTAAGTGACGCGCTGCGGAAAAGGCGAGTGATCCAACTCCGCTAAGTGTCACTTAGGTTCATTTCGCTTCGTTTTCTTCACTTCGTTTCTCTGACTGTCTGTTCGGATCAATAAATGTATGAAATATATATATTCAAAATTCATTCCCGTATTTAGCTTATTTCATCCCGTTATTTTCTAACGCGAATTAAGTCGACAAAAATACACGAGGGTCAGAGGGATGTATATTTTGATAAAAATCAGAATAGGATTTAACGTGAGCCAGATATAGGGTCACTAAAAGTCATTACAGTTTTTACCAATTCCACCTGTTGGGACACTACAGATGTTAAATGTTTGAAGCTATTCAGCGAAAAAACCTACATATATGTTACTTGCGAGTTGACGTCCGTCAATGTGACATACCTGGAATCTTGAGAGAAACAACCAAATCACTGACTGAAAAAACTTTTTGAAACTGATTAAGACAACAGCTTGAGTTCATTCGGCTTATGATGTCAATTAAGAATCATAAAATCTCAAGAACATAAAAGTCAACATTCTTCGACACACAATCCTAGTTAATTTACGTTAGCCTTTGTGTATCTTATGCTGTTCGCTTTGATATATCCATTTCATCATTAGTTTCATATGAAACAGATGAATTGTGGCTAGCAGGGGGAACTAAGACGCATTTTACCTTCTATTTCGAGCTCATCAGATGGATTTAACTGCCGCATTCGTGTTGATGTTTGCATCAGGACTCGAATCCGACATCTTTACGTGTTATCTGACTAGTTTACTAATGAAATTACAGAAATCAACCGGGATTCTTTAAGTAAGACATTTTTCATTCAAAAGCTGTTCGTTTATTTTTGGAATAATTATTTTGTGATAACTTTCACCACAAATCGAGATTAGCTGAAAAAAACATTAAAAAACGGGATTGGCTGAGTATTGAGTTAAATAGGTGTCTAATTTTACCTTTTTACGCTTTACACCAAGAACTGATTTTGGTTTGAGAACTGGTGAAAATTAGAAAACAATGGACAACTGTAAAGTTCTAATATGGGACCTCATTAAAGAACTCATTCATAATCTCATTGATGACCAAATTCAAGACCTTCAGTTCTCGCTCACAACTAAAAATATACATCTACGACCATATATGATGTTAAACTCAGAATTTCCTGATCCTGTAAAGAAAAAAATATTAATCAGTTATTTAGGGGGAGAACAAATATGGAATTACCTAGCTTCAGCCATTTTTAAAAATGATAACGTGTGGTCCACAGTGTTCCCCAGTGCTTAATAACTGTTTTACATACGGTTGTCCTAAATTTATTGGCTTCAGTTTGCCAGAAGACTATCGTTAGGTATAATGAAGTCAACAATAGTTTATGCAACATATTTACAAAAAATACTTTAATGAATAAAATCATTTATTTATTGTGTTGACTTAATCTCTCGGTTAAAATTGAAGTTAATTAAATTAATTTACTTACAAGTAGTATATAATATAACATTAAAAATGACAATGGAATAAGTTGTAAAACAGCTGTTTTGTGTTGTCTATGTTAGAAAAATCTAAATATAACTTGTAAATAGTCTCATAAAAGGAGAACAGCAAATCAATCTTTACATAATATTGCACTTTTTAGATAAACATTCATCATTTTGTTTGGCTAAGATATTGTCCATGTCACAAAAACTGGAGTATATTTATATATATCCTTTACAAATTAAAAACAAGAATAAATTTTCCTTACAACCTAGAAGACAGGAAATAAACATGATGTTGTCAAGTGTGTTCATTTCAAATGATCAACTTTATAAAAAATAATTAGTCAGGATAAAATTATGTTACGATTGTATTTGGTTCATATTGTTCACTATCAATTAATGAACCACCCATATTTGTAACACCTGAATCAGTTTGTCGAAAACTTCCAGTTGTTGAACTTTCATGTTTTGAAATATTACTTACATGTAATAAATCTGGTGAATAGTCTACTGAAATATTATTATTATTGGAAGTATTGTTGTTAGGGCTATTTAAGATCATATGTTTACGTGTATTTGCCTGTTGTGGTGATCCATGCGGTGTTGAATAGATTGATGAATCACCTCCAAGCATATATATTAAATGTTTCGGTGGAGGAGGTAATGGTGGTGGTGAATTATTCCTAATTTGTTGATTTTGTTGAATACGAGTCAAATTCATATTTGGTGTTGTGATCAATTTTGTTGATTGAATTAAAGATGATGGATTCGACATATGAATAGTATTATTATTATTAATTGACTTGGTTGAATCATGCGGCAATATTTTATTCTGTAATCGACAAGGATGACGTGATCTTGGTGAGTATGTTAAACTAGCCATATTTGTTTTGGTTCTACATATGAATTCATTGGATATTTTGTTGTAAAACTATTACAATTATTATTACGTTGCTGTTGTTGTTGCTGTTGATAATGATGTGACGGATCGTAATTTATGATTTCTGGTATACGTTGTAATAATGGAGATGGTAATGTTGATGGTGTAGATCGATGTGTTCTATACTGTTGATTTAATCTATAAATAGTTTGTTTCGATCGAAACTTCGGTGACAAAAGTACATCAGATATTGTATGTGATATAGGTAATGGTGATATATTTTTACTTGTTTGTCCACTATCTGTCGGCGTTTTCATTCGATATGTATATAATTTTTTTCTATTTCCATTTTCAATATTTATATCAATATGATTGTTATCATTATCAAGATCATTAACATCGACATCATCATCATTATCATCATTACTGTCACCATTATCATGATCATCAATACCATCGTTATCATCATCATTATCATCTCTATGTTGATTACATTCATAATTATCTTGATATTCAATAAATTTTTCATTGATTTCATGAAGTTTCATTAATTCATTCAATTCATAATTATTATGTTGATATTTAATTATATTTTTTTCAATATTATTAAATTTATAATTATTTATTAATAAATAATTTGTTTCACATAAATGTACAGAGAAAATAATTAATTGAATTAAAAAATCACCAAATAAATTATTCATTTCTATAAATAACCAATTTTGACGTGTTGGCCAAAAGGATTCAGTTGCTATGGCTGCTGATGATGTTACTGGTGTTGTTGCTGGTGGTGGTGGTGTTGTTGTTGTTGCTATGGAGGATAAACTTGGTATAAATTGATTTTTTGATTGATTATTAATTAATAAACATTCTAAACGATTAATTGAATTTGTCATTAAATATGGTATGGTACAACATAATTGTATAATACCTATAATTAATATTAATATACTATCTTGTATTAAATAAATTAAACAATATTTAATTATATTAATATATAATTGATAAAATTTTATATCTTTTTTATTAAAATGAATATTATGTAATACTATATGATTGAATTCATATTTCATTTTAATTAAACGTATTATTAATAATAATAAACATACAATCATTGTACAACATGGTATAACAAAACTAATTGCTGCAAAACAATATTCATATAATGTTTGACCAGTTTTATTTAATAAACGCCATGCTGGATAATATTTTTCATGATTATTATTATTACTACTACTTGTACTACTAATACTAGTACTACTAATTTGTTCTATATCAGTAGTACTAGTATATTGATTAAATAATTTAATTTTTAAATTAATTCCAATTAATTGATATGACCATACTTGTGGTAAACAAATTGCTAATGAACATGTAATTAATAAACTTATTATTAATATTAAACGTCCAATTAGAGTACAATTCATTTTTTTCATATTGATTATACTACTTAAATCAATATTTTCATTTTTGGATTTATTTTTAATTATTTGTTGATTTAATATTTTTAAATTATGATTATAATTTGGTTTACAAATAAAACATACATAATCTTCTGACCAATTATAATTAATTGATTTACATATTGGACATTTTTGTATTGAACATAAATTGGCGGTAAATTTGAATAAATATTGAAAGATGGATTTGATTGGTTGATTTTGTTGTTTATTATTATTCAGTAATATACCTGTACTATTATTATTATGATTATTATGATTGTGATTATGACTATTCATTGTAGTTAAACAATGATCATCATTTAAATTCTGTTTTATTAATGTATATAAATAATTTATGTAATATCCAAATGATTTTTTCAATGGATTCATATATAATTCATTTAATATATAAATACGATTAATTAATAAACCTATAATTAACCAACATAATGTTAAACGTAATACAATTTGCATTGTTAACATAGCTGGTAATTGTGTGATAAATTTTGGTGTATTATTATTATTATTATTATCATTCAATATATCTATATATGAAGATGTTAAATTCTTATTCATTATATTATAATATCCAAATGACATTGGTATATAACGTGGTAATATAATTAACCATATTAATGATGAATTAATACAAGTTAATATATAGTATACAATTAAATATTGTGATACATTTTGTATATAAGGACGTGTAAATATAGTATATTTTGGACATGTATAATGTTTTGATTCAATAAATATATTAACAATAGCAAATAAAATGGTTGCAGCTGGTAATAATGGTAAACTAAAATAAAATATAATTTGTATAATTTGTTGTATTTTATCATTATAAATTGTTGTTGTTGTTGTAGCATTATCATTATTCAATCTTTCAATAGAATCCATGAATTGATTTTTAGAATAGATAACAGATGATAAATGTAATTGATGAATTGCTTCATTTAAATTAATTGGTCGTACTGGTTTTAATAACCAATCTTGTATTAATAAACCAGTATTAGTAAATGTCCAATACATACAACTTGGTAAAGTTGCCATTTGATTAATTTCTTTTTTTTTTAAAAATAAATTTAAATGAATAGTTTAACCGATTCTAAATATAGATTTTTATATATTTTAGCAACAACAAAAAAACCCACATTCATTTCAGTAGTATAAAAGGTAAAATAACAAATTTGTTTTACATGTAACTACATCATTTACAATAATATACACATGAAATATAATAATAATGTTGGATTTTATTTAACCAATCAGAATCAAGTAAATATGTTATACAATAACACATTTTTAATAATCATTGGCTAATACTAACTAAATTCTGATTGGATGATACGTTAAGATGAATGAAGAATTAAAAAACATTTTTTGTTTGATATTATTGAAGAGAAAAGATGTCAACGAAAAAATATTAATTTCAATGGTTGAGATCTGGAGTCAATTGAAGCTAGACCATCATGGAAAACTTAGAAGCACTGGACGGCCGTTTTGTCCCATGGTAGGACTCCTCAGCAGTGCGCATCCACGATCCAGCTCATGGGATCCGAATCCAGGACCTATCAGTCTCAACCATTGAAATTACTATAATATCCACGAAACCCATCTGATATTAGTCAACATATGCTCACTAGTGACTGGCATCAAGAGGTATATCCTGGAGTTCTAGTGAGAAGCAGTGACCAGTGGAGTTCAACCAGGTCTGGTGTGAGATAGTAACTCACTGAAGACAATGGTGGATGTGTCACTCAATTTCGCGGATTATTTCAAGTTAGACATTAACACCGTTGGTTGCCGGCTAGCTCAGTGGTCTAATGGGTAAGCGCTCGCACGCGAGACTGATAAGTACTGGGTTTGAATCTCGCTGGTGGTGGGGTCGTGGATGCGCACTGATCGGGAGTCTCACAATAGAACGAAATGGCTGTCCAGTGTTTCCAGGTTTTCCATGGTGGTCTCGCTTCAACTGACTCATGATCTCAACCATTGAAATTACTATAATATCCACAAAACCCATTCTGATATTAGAAAAATATTATTTAATGAATAATATCAAAGATGAAATGAAGTTACTTGATAGGTTAACAGAGTCACAATTGATTGATCACTGGGTGGTGATCAATGTCATGCTTGTCTAGTCCTTATTAGTGCAGATCGAATGCTATCGAGTTTATACATTATATTTAATATGTGACCAGGAGTAGAATACAAAATAACTATTTCATCTCCTATTGAAGGTTCATCGAGTGGATGTATCCGTCTTTTAGTGCTGATATTTCAATTAAGTCTCGCATGGTCTCATAAATCAAGCAATTGAGTAAATAAGAAATTTTGTGCTGTGACGATCAGTAACTGTCTTGATCAACCATTTAGCTGAATGAACATCTATTATTGATTAGTAACTTCGTTTGAAACGAATGAGAGATAATGTAACTGGAACATCTATCTTGTAAAAAAAAAACAAGGCTGAATGTTAACTTTTGATTCTAGAGAATGATTATGGCATATTATAAATTTACTGAAGTCATAAAGTGCAAACTGCCAAATTTTAACTTCTGTAATTAGACGTTTTAAAGTGGATGGTGCCAACGTGTTTCAGAGTTGAGTAAAACCACTAGTTAGTGATCTGTTATTATGAGTACAATTTTTAGTTAATGTCAACAGTCCTTAAATGATTATATTATTTTCATTGAAATTATGAACTGATCAATGTTAGATCAACATTGAGAAACAGGAAACACTGGACGACTGTTTCGTTCTAGAATCGAACTCCACAGCAAAGTGCATACATGACTGCGCATGCGGAAATTAAATCAAGGACCTTCAATTTCGCTCTCAAATGCCCAACCACCAGACCACTGAACTGAAATGCAACCCTGTTAATGTCTAGCTTCAATCGGTCCATAATATAAATTACATTATTTATGTTGTATGAAATGATTTCGGTCAACATATTCTGATATTTCTGCAAGTCTATTTGTAATATTATACATACATTAAATTGATAGTCTGAAGACTATCTTCAGGTCGTAACATTCTTCACAATGTAAATTTTTCAATCAAACTAACTACTTTAAACTACCAACTGAATATATAATTAATAGTTCACACATAAGTTAGTATATCTTTTCATTATTTCTACTACCAAGTCATCAAACATCAAAGAAAAGTTATATGACTACACTCTCTTCTTAATAATAGTAGTCGCATAAATACAAATCAGAATACAGTGTAAGCTTATTATATACATGTACTAGTCTTTCTACGAATGACAAATTTTGTAAGTAACAAATTTAGAAGTGTTTAACTCATCCTTCTCATGTTCGCGGGCGAGACCGATAGGTCCTGCGTTCGAATCCCACGAGATGGGATTGTGAATGCGCGCTGTTGAGGAGTCCTATACTAGGAAGAAACGGTCATTCAGTACTTCCAGGTGTTCCATACTGGTCTAGCTTCAATTGACTCATGGTTTCAACTATTGGAATTTCTAAAATCTCCACAAAACCTCTTCTGATATACATCAATGTTCATGAAAAAGAAGTAATTTCAATGGGCGGTTTTATTGTTTTGAATAGTTTAGAAAACTAACTCAATGAGTTAACCTATTACAGATTACAAAACAGTTAGTCATCATATATTGGGTGTACAATCTATTTATCAGTTATTGTAAGTATTTGCGTGATTACTGATAACTAATATATATATATATATATATATATATATATATATATATATATATATATATATATATATATATATATATATATATATGTCAACTATAAATGGATACAAAAAAAATACATAAAAACACAAGTGTATAACTTACCATGTTTCTCAAAAGAGAAAAGTTTTTTTATTATAAAACATCAATACAGTGAGGGAGGAGGGGGTGGATGTGACATTTTTGTTGATAGTTGATAGAAATAACAAATATGCTTGTGTGTATATATATGCGTGGGATAAATGAAAGTTAAGTGAACTGTACACACTTAATCGTTACTATGTATATAGCACTGGTGCTAATTTATAACTGTTTACAACTTTACAAAGTGACTGATACCTAATACAATTTTAGTGAAACTCGTCAAATATAGGTAAATACAGAGAGAGAAGATTGGAATATTGTAAATAAGTACAATGTTTACAATGTTATTTAGAATAGATTATTTCAGAGCTGCTTCAATACTAGTTCTCTAGTAAAAAAGAAAAAAATTCTACTACCTATGTATACTTAAGTCTTAAGCTACTTATTGACAAGTTTCTTTTTGTTTTCAACATTAAAAAAAGATTGATTTCACTGGGGAATATAAATGTTAAATTGTTTGATTACTGCAAAGGAATACTTTATCTTTATGTCAACGCTAGTAAAACGTTAAGAAAAACACTTAAAATTGGAATATGAAGCAAAGGGAAGTATTATGTTTACTTTGGTAATTCACGTATATTTTTGATTTTCTGGATGAATTTTGTTTAAAATCAGTAAATAAAATCATAATCCCTGGTACGACCGAGAGTGGGGAGAGTCAGCTCTCCTTCTCTCTCTCTCTCTCCCTCTCTCGAACTGCTCTCAAGTGGCCGCGAGTGTACAGTCACTGTCAGAAAAGTCCTACTCAAGACGCGGGTGTTGTTTACGAAATTGAAAGAACAAAATACGAATGTCAGACGTTTTAATCAGGTTAGTGGGTACAGAGGATTCACCTAGGGGAGCTGGAAAACCCTGATTCCAAACCAATAGTGCCTATGGGTTCCCGGATCCTGAGGGAATAAATGACGTATGAATCTATTGTTGGCCAATGGCTAACATGGGACTGCATCTCTTAACGTTGTCGCACTGCCTTACGGATAAGACTTTTGGTGTGGCTCTCTAGGGAAACTACCTACTTCTGTTTGGGCACCCGGATAATATCCCAGACCTCACACAATTCGAATGACGAATTGTATCGCATATTTATTTGGTGCCACCTTGTACCAATATTTATGTGTTTAAATAAATAAACAAATGGTACCAAGTATTTCAGTAGTAAAATATGTTAGTGAAGTAGTATAAGTGATACTTATGACAGTTATTATAAGGTAAATCTGTATGTAATTAAATGTGTTTGTTTTTTATTTAACCTGATCATATTATAGTATATAATTACGTAACTGAATTGATTAAATAATAGGAAATATAATATTGAAATCAAACAAGTTCCCACTGAATCAGTTCTACGTTTTGTAGGTATATTTCAATTAACATGAAGAGAAAAAATATAAACAAGTATTTCATCTTAGTATATGACTTTTCATTTATGTGCATCAATGACCCATGATAGAGATCTAACTTAGGATTTATAGGTTTTACAAAAAGCATGTAGTCTTTGTGTATCCAAGTTAGTGTTATACACGAGGATTGATATTCCACAATTTTATGCTTATGGTTATCGTGAGTATGCATTACTGTGAAGTTTCATAGAAGGATGAAACATCTAAATGTTATTATTGAAATAGTTAATTTCAATTTAATGTTTTACATATCTAAACTCAATTAATTATTGACATTGTTAGATGAACATTTATTGTCATCAATAATATCTATTTTAATACCAATATGACTGAACTTCCTATGCTCCATTGGGAGTAACAGGCGTAAGTAAGTAAAGGCTGAAGTTTACAGGTAATGTCTTCTCGTTCTATAGCATACCTAGTATTGTGGAAGTTATGTTTACATTATCAACAGAATGTAATGTGAAATATTGAAAAAGGAATCGAACAGTGACCAGTCATAGTTAATTTTCTGTTAATTGTACACATTTTACTCATTTGAACAACTCAGTTCCCTGTAATAACTGGAATCTTATACATTAGCATATCTGCAAAATTAATGACATTTACATGCATAAGATGATTTTCAATAATCACTGATTTTAAGATTTACTAGGGGTCATATTTTCAAGACATTGAAAAATGTGACTATTTATGTTTTTTATTCAGTACTGTTCAGAATTATCTAAACATGGATCAAAATGTCTACATCTATCTATCTATCTATCTATCTATCTATC